GGGTCTGTGTTAGTCTTTGTTCTCCGGAGAAACAACCAATAGGAGATGATAGATTAGATAGATAGATGATAGATGATGATAGATGATGATAGATAGATAGATAGATAGATAGATAGATAGATAGATAGATGATAGATAGATGATAGATAGATAGATGATAGATAGATGGGTGATAGATTGATGATAGATAGATGATAGATAGATAGATAGATAGATGATAGATAGATGATAGATAGATGATAGATGGGTGATAGATTGATAGATGATAGATAGATGATAGATAGATAGATGATAGATAGATGATAGGTAGATGATAGATAGATAGATATCATAAGGAATTGGCTCATGCAGTTGTGGAGACTTAGAAATCAAAGGATCTGCAGTCAGCAAGCAGGAGAGCCAGTGGAATAGTTCTGATCCAAATCCAAAGGCCTGAGAACAAGGAGAACTGATGGTGTAAGCGTTAGTCCAAGTCTGAAGGTAGGTGAGACCGATACACCAGCGCAAAGACAGTACACAGAGCGAATTCTCCCTTACTTAGACCTTTTAGTTTTGTTCAGGCCTCCAACAGTTTGGATGAGTGAGGCCCACACATGTTGAGGAGGGCAAACTATTTTACTCAAATCTCATCTAGAAACACCTTCACAGACATACCCAGGATAATGTTTAACCAAATATATGGACACCCAATGGCCCAATCAAGTTGACACATAATTAACCATTGCCGGGCCTAAATGTACTTTAAGTCTATCTGCTTGTACTTTGATCTTTTTTTCTTAGTCCTCTTGAAAAGCCCCAGTTCATGTGGAATATTAGAATCATAAGACTTCACTAAGTTGATGCATTTGAAATTGCATTTGGCCAGTACTGACATAAAGTTGGAATGAGTTGATATTTTCAGTATGTTTATAAAGTATAACTTGTAGTATTTTTTCCAGTTTAATTGTTGTTACTGTTAATATTAAATACATGGCCCTGGCTGGTTTGGCTCAGTGGTTGGAGCATCGGCTCATGCACCGAAGGGTCTCAGGTTCGATTCCCGGTCAAGAGCACCTACGTGGGTACCTGGGTTGCAGGTTCGATCTCCAGCCCTGGTTGGGGCACATGTGGGAGGCAGCCAACCGGTGTCTCTCTCACATAGAATTTTCTCCCTCCTTGCCTTCCTTCCATTCTAAAAAAGCAATGGAAAAAAATATCCTCGGGTGAGGATCAACAACGAAAACAAAATTAAGTACATCAGCTATGTGCTACTGTGCTTCCATCCTTCCTGTCTTTGAGGAAGGTCCTAACACACATGCTTGGTCATTTTGTCAGATCTCTGGAGTGGCTGGGCAGCAGAGATTAGCAATTCCCAGAGCAATTTGCAAAAGCAAGATTGATTGGCATGGAATTTTATCAACAAACTCCTTATATTACAGTATATCAGTGAGCTGCTGGGGTAAAGGGAAGAGGGTTTGTTTGTAGTATCAGCTTCTTATCCTTATGACCTTAGACAAATCCCTTGACTTCATCTGTAATGCCATCCTAATACCCACTACACTAGCGGGCTGTTGGGAAGATTACATAAAATGAGAATGTATATGAATTGCTCTGCTGTTTGCATTATTAGCTGGTCTATGTTAATTGCCAAGAACTTTCCCTCCTTGTAAATGATTATTTTTATGGTTTATTTTGTTTATGTAGCATGTTCTTGTAATTCACATGATGTAGCTGGAGTCCCTTTCTCAAGGAAAGAATGAAAGTATCACTTGACCTGTGTATTTATCTGTTTTTCCTAAAGTTGATTGATTCTAGGATGATACCTGCTTACTGAGGCCTGATTTTCACAAAACTTCCCTAAATTAGAGTAAAGTAGATAATTGGGCTAAAGGAAGTGTTTGAATTATAAGACATTCAAAGCAATCCAGTATGTCATTTTGAGACCCTGATTTAGGCTCTCTTCTTCAGACTAGGGCTAGATCACATTCTTAATTAGTGTTTACCCGGAACATCGCCTTACTGCCCAAGGGTGTCATGGTGACCCTCCTTGCAGTCTACTCTCAGATGACTGCACTTAACATATTAGCAGCTGGATTTGGTTCAGTCATTTATCTAAAAGACTGGAACATTGTTTTGGCCTATATGTATTTCACAAATGTACTGTAAGAGTTGCTTTTGCTTTAATCTACCCTAAAAATATTGTCCCATACCACCAATATTCTAGTTTTTGTAAATGGATCTAATTTCTATATCTCTACCTTTTAATGAACATATAAGAAAAATTGTAAGCTATTTTACCCATAGTTTCTGGATTAAAGAGATTTGAATTTATAGCAGAAGCCTCTTTACCCTCATGATCATCTTCTCTGGACCTGTTCAATTCCTACCTGACTGTTGGAGGTTCAGCCTCAGGTTTATACAAGATCCCATTAAATTTTTGCTTTTCCCCCTACTAAGATGATTATATGTAATGATTTTTCTTGTTTTTATTTATTTTTTTTAGAGAGAGAGAAAGAGGGAGGAAGGGATAGCATTGATTTGTTGTTCCACTTAATTATGCACTCATCGATTGCTTCGTGTACGTGCTTTGACTGGGGATCAAACCTGCAGCCTTGGCATATGGGGACAGTGCTCTTACCATCTGATCTACCCTGCCAGGGCATGATTTTCCTTGTTTTTTAAATGTCCTCCTAAGAAGACAAGTTAGGAACAAGTTTGAATTAGCACATAGTAAACATTTGTTCTTAGATATATTCAATATATATCAATAGGCTGATTTACACTCTTAGAAAACTAATTTGCTTCTTAAGCAAACTAATTAAAAATGTGTTATGACTGAAATTTGATGAGATTTTAATTTAGAGATTTTACTAAGTGTTATTCTCTGAGACATTTAATGGAAAACATGAATTCAGCAAGACAATTGTAGTTGCTTATATTGCCGTCTTACTGGTGATCAGTTTAAAAGCAGGTTTGTTAGGCAGTGCAAAGAGATGGCAGGTATATGAGGCAGTGACTCCAGTTGTTCAGGTGTGGCCCCCTCAGCAGGTAATGTAATAGTGAAAAGAGCAACAAATGTCTGCCTAACTACTTATCACACTTTCAAAGACATTTTCCTAGGCCACACGCAGATAAGAGTGAAGTTATTTTGGAATATTTGCTGGGAGGAAAGGCATGTGAACAGTCTATTTTTGCTAGAAGTCAAAAGAGGATTTATAACCACTTGGGTTTTCATGTAAAAAGCCAAGGGGCTTTTTTTTCTACTTTTATGTGATGGTTTGTGGATACTTCAGAATCTCTTCTTTCGTTTTGATATTATCCAAGCCTGTGGCTAAGTAGTTAGTTTAAATAGATATAGCACATTGACTTTTTAAAAATTTATCTTTATTGTTGAAAGTTTTACAGATATTCCCTTTCCCCACAGTTGACCCCTTCCACCCCACACCCCCCACCACCCAGGCCTATATTGCACTATTGTCTGTGTCCATGGGTTATGCATATATGCATATAAGTTCTTTGGTTAATCTCCTCTCACTCCCCCCTCCCCTTCCCTCTGAGAGCCGTCAGTCTATTCCATGCTTCCATGTCTCTGGATCTATTTTGTTCATTAGATTCCACATATAAGTAACCTTTCCTATTATGTGGAAGGTGTTCAGATAACTAACAAAGGAAAACAAATCAATAAGGCTCAATTCAGCATTAGTTCAAGTGTTGATGTTTTCGTAAAACGGTAAATTGGGCAGAAGAAAGCGAGTTCACATAAGGGCATTGACCCTTTGGGATGCTCTCCACCCCCACTTACTCCTGGGTGAATAAAAAAACTGGATGTCTCCCTTCCTTTCAGTATCCTTCAGGGGTGGGGCATTATTTTTATTTGAAGCAGAGTCTATGTGTTATTAGATCAGACTTCATCATCAGAACATCAGTATGAAAATGCAGTCTAAAATAAAGTTATATTTTTTATTAATGTGATTCATTAATCAGAATTTTCTTTTGAATTCCTTTCCTGTACAATAGATTGAGTAGACTGCAGTAGTAGCTGTCTAGCTAAACTTGGACACGAATTTCCTGTCAATCTCATTTACTTGCTTTTCCATTAGCTAGCTTTCTTTCTTTCTTTCTTTCTTTCTTTCTTTCTTTCTTTCTTTCTTTCTTTCTTTCTTTCTTTCTTTCTTTCTTTCTTTCTTTCTTCTTTCTTCTTTCTTCATTTATTTTTACNCTTTCTTTCTTTCTTTTTCTTTCTTTCTTTCTTTTTCTTTCTTTCTTCTTTCTTCATTTATTTTTACNTTTACTTTTTTTAAGTTTTATTATTGTTTAAAATATTACAGATGTCCCTTTTTCTCCCCAATGACCCATTCCACCCCGTTCCTTCCCCCTCCCCAGTCCCTCTCCCCACCATTGTCCATGTCCTTGGGTTGTGTATATATGCACATAAATTCTTTGGTTACTTTCTCCTCCTCCACCCACCTGCCTTCCTTCATCCCTCTGACATTCATCAGTCTCATTTATGCTTCCATGTCATTGAATCTATTCTGTTCATCAGTTTATTAAGTTCTTTAAATTCCACGTATAAGCGAGATCATGTGATTTTTGTCTTTCGCTGCCTGGCTTATTTCACTTAGCATAATATTCTCCAGGTCCATCCATACTGTCCCAAAGGGTACGAGATTCTTCTTCTTTACAGCTGCGTAGTATTCCATGGTGTAAATGTCCCACAGCTTTTTTATCCACTCATCTACTGATGGGCACTTGGGCTGTTTCCAGATCTTAGCTATTGTAAACTGTGCTGCTATGATCCATTAGTTTTTTAAAAATTTTCCTATCTTGAGTTATTTCTTAGGAAGGAAATACACATACACAGATTTTCCCCCCAGTATCTGTTTCTTGTTTTTAGGATAATACCAAAGGGTATTTATCTTTCTTCATTGATAGGTAATATACACTGTCAATAATAATTGCTGGAATATTTAAAATTGTAATTTTATACTTCTGGATATATTCTTTTATAAACTTAAATTGAAAACAGGAAGAGGAAGAGAACCCTGGTATTAAAATAAGAATCTTTTGCTATAAGTGCTTATAGTGACACCTGAATTATGTCACACTAAAGTAAAGTGGCATCTTACAGTGGAGTGAGCCCTGGAATGTGAGCCAGCAGACCTAAGTCCTAGTCCCATTCTACAATTAATTTGTTCCATGACTGGAAAAGTGGCTTAACCTCTTTGGACTTCAACTGCAAACTGAAACTTTGGAACTATATATCCAAAGTTCCTTATGGATGCATAATCACTGACAGTAATAAGGCATTATCTTCTCTTCACAAACTTGATGGCAGTTTTTCCTCAGTTGGTAGCTGGGGGACATAGCAGTAGAATACATGACTGTCCTCTCAGTACCTTTTATGGTCCAGTGGAAGGAGAAGATGCAGTAAGAGTTTTTTGTTTTTTTTACTAGATGTCTATATTGGTAGAATGCTTAGAAATGTAATGACACAGTTTAATAAATATACTCTAAACTCAATATAAGGAGAAATGTGCCTTCTAGACCTAATCCTATTTGCCTTTTCTTTTTATTTTAGGAGCTTATTTAATGAAAAGTGCCAAAGACTGAAAAACCAAACATGAGGGTGGCAGGTAAGAAAAATATGTCAAATCAGTAGAAATAATTTTGCTTTTTATGTAACCTGTTTGTTTAGTAATGACTAAAGGAGAGGGTAAATAATCTTCCTATATCACATGCAAAGCTGAAATATAACAAGCTAAATCATTATTTAGCCTCTCTACTTTTTTGTTGTTCATAATCCTCATCGGAGGATATTTTTCCATTGATTTTTACAGAGAGAGGAAGGGAAGGAGGGAGTGGGGGAGAAATAGAGTGAGAAACATCAATGTAAGAAAGACATCCATCGGTTGCTTCCCCCACTCGCCCTGCCTGGGGTGGGGGTTCGTACCTGCAACCCACGTACGTGCCTTTGACAGATAATTGAACCCGAGACCCTTTGGTTCTTGGTTTGACGCTCTAACCACTGAACAACACTGGCCAGGTCTGTCCTCTTTACTTTTTTATGTAGTTGGCAAATCACAAATTGGACATTTAATGGGTGTTACATAAGTGTTTGGAAACACTTTCATTGAAATTATTTATGCTAAATATTTTAAGTGACGGTTTTAATGTTCATGTTCTTATACATTAAATTTGTTTACCAAATAATACATAGATAATGTCTATATAAAGAACATTTTGATAACCTTGGGGGGCTGGTTTTTGTTTTTGCTAAGTTCTAGCTTGTTGAGGAAAATGAACTGTAAAATTTGAAAGCTTAATTATTTTTCAATGTCTGTGCATAAATTAAAACTAGTGTATGTAAAGGATTCAGTAAAATGTGTTTTTGCTTAAGTGACTACTGGGTGGGGCAAAAGTAGGTTTATAGTTGTGAGTACGCAAAACAATTTATTCTTGTATTATTTATTAATTATGGTATTATTTTCCGTACAAACAACTGTAAACCTACTTTTGTCCTACTCTGTGTTTGCTAGTTCAAGTTCAGTCTGCCTAAATGGGATTATGCATAGGGACCTGCTCCTTATGCAGCATATTGAGGAAATTGAAAAACACCACTTGATGATCGTAGTATTAATGTAGCTATCCTTAAACATTATAAAAAGACAGATGCATAAACAACTGGAGGGGCTAATGACCTACCTCTTCCTACCTATAGTGAAAATAAATGTGATCATTCTATACCCACCTATCCTCCAGCACAGCCAAGGCCCCAGAGGAAGTGTGCACTTTACATTAAAATTCCTAATAAGTGTGTGTCCAACCTAGGAGATAATTTGTAATTTCAGCTTTGTTTTAATTATCATCTTCTCACCAACAAACAAATACTTTCTGACAGGAGCATCTCTAGAAGAACCTAAAATCATGGTGGGTGGGCAAACAAGTCTTGCTTCAGTCATAATTATATATAATCAAGTACAGGTGATTAGACATCATGATTATTAAGCAAAGATTACTGAGGGGTGTTCAGTAATGCTTTTGCAGAAATTTGAAAATCTAGATCTCTTGGTTATGAACTTAAAAAAGCTTTCCATTTGAATAGCTGTACAATTACTGAAGAAATGTATTTCCAGAAACCAAGAGCTTGTTTGTGGTTTAAAAAAACAAGTTATAATGACTTTTTTTAAACAAAAATATGATCTTTGAGTACAGCAGGACTCTGATTGCATACTTCCAGATGATTTTTAAAGTATATTATTTAATTAAGCATGGTTATTTAAAATAATCAAAGCCAGTTTCCCATTCTCACATAATTCTACATTCATTCTAGTTGCAATGAACTTTGTCATCTAGTCCATTTCTCTGATTCTGACAATTACTTCCGAGGTTAATTGATGAGTAATTATTCACTGAGTACTTATTTTATGTTTGGCACTGTTTCTAGTATAGACCTTCAGGGCTCGCTTTCAATGAGTGAATAGGGAACATTAGCTGTTAGTTTATTGCTTTCAAAATAACTAATCTTTTCTAATTTAAGAATTTTTAAAAATATTCTGGTTACTTCAAAATATACTTATAGTCATTATTCATACAATGAGGCATCAGTGTCTAAAGTTTATGCTTTTTGGTTTATGAAAAATAGGGACGCACTCTGTTATTAGATTAGTGCAGTTCATGACTAGAAGGAAGAGGGAATCTCATGGAAAGTTATGAATGAGAACTGTGGTGTGGCATGGGTAGGCCCTTCCAAATTCAGAATTGGATGGTGATCAGCTCTGGAAGAGACCTTCTGGAAGAGTTCTGACATTCCAGACTCTGCCATTATGTAGGCTCTGAGACCCTTCACCTGCCTGCCCTCTCAGGGACCATCTGCTTGTTCTCTTACTAGTTGGTTTCTCCACCTCTGACTTTTTTCTCCCTTAGAGCTTTTGTGTCCTACTTCCTCCGATGGCCCAGTATAAGTGAATATGTCATGGTTTAAGACTCAGTTCTCCTACTGATGAGTTATGTGAACTTAGACAGTGGTCAAAATTCTTAGCCTTGTTTCTCGTATTTGTAAAATGCTATCTTGAAAAGCTGTGCAAGTGAGGTTATGCTTCTACAGCATTTAGTTCTGTAGTAGGCGCTAAGCAAATAGTGTATGTTTGTGTGTATCTGTGTGTGGTGTGTATATATGTACATATATGTATATATGATGCATGTAGCTTGTTTAGTGTAGGCTCAGGTTTAGCTTGGTATTGAATTCAGTCTAGAAATTCCATATATTATAAACTTGATATTTTAATATTTCAGTCTTGAATAGTGAAGGTTTCATCTGCCTGCTTTAAGGGACAGGGAAAGGTAATCTCTAGTTGCACCTGCCCATACTTGCTAGAAAATGAGATATTAACCTATCATGTGATGTATAATCGTCATGCCAAGGGGCCTTAAATGATCCAAAAGGAATATGCCACCTGTTACCATTCATCTATTTAGCAAACACTTGTTGAGAGTATTACTATGTGCCAGGCACTCTGCTGCATCCTGCGGGGGGAAGATTTCAAAGCCTTGTGGAATTTTACTGTCTTAATGCACTAAAAATGTAGGCAACTTGGAGTTGCTCTTGAAAGCAGGAAGCACAGTTTTTGGAAGGGAGACGATAAGAAATGGAGGGGGCGAGGTTGATTAGTTTAATGAGGTTAGGCTTTTTCATTGCTACTTGTTTTTGTATTTAGTGTTTCTCAGTAGAAGTGAAGAGCTCTGAGAAACTGCTGCTTCTCAGAGTCATTAGTTTTTCTGAGCATCCCTAGTCCATTCCCTTGTCTCCTCTTTTTTTTTTTTCTTTTTTGGTTAATAGTCACCTGAGAATATTTTTTCCATTGATTTTTTAGAGAGAGTGGAAGGGAGGGAGGGAGGGGGAGAGAGAGAGA